ATACCTATACCTACATGTATGTATAGCTACACATGCACATAGGTGTAGGTAGGGAGATGGGGGGGGGTGGGTATATACACCCAGAGATGGGTATGTAGGCACACACACACACATACACACACACACACACATATATACATAGCGGTATAATGGCTGTAGTATAGCTTATGTAGCTGTCTCAGGGCATGTGTATATGCACCTGTATACATATAGACACACGTGTATATTTATGTGGATGGAGACTATATGGGGCAGCTGGCCCCATGGGAGTGGGGGGGGAGGTATGTATATGCACACACACACACACACACACACGTGTGTACATCGATACAGACACAGAGACACTCATACCCCCCCCCACTGGAGGAAATTGCCCCATATAGTCTCCACACATATATACACAGAGCTCCATGCATAATACGCACACACGCACACTGGGGTGAAGGGCCCCCTATAGTCTCTATATAAACACAGATGCATGCACAGGTGTGTCTGTATCTATAGCTGCGTACCTGTAGCCATATGTATACATATGAATATATGGACAGGTTTAGATGCACAAACTACACTATATTATCATCTGTTACAATTATGTATCTTATGTATCTTTTATATTGTATAGAATGTTATATTTTTTAGCCACTGTTTCTTACATAATACATAAAATAGCAGGTAATTTAGCTGCATACATAGTCTATTATAAAATATAATAATAAATATAGAATATAAAGAGTGTGTGTGTGTACTATAGTATATTATACTGCCAGGGCCAAGTGCCCCATATATTCCTCTCCATCCATACAGAAATATATGTGCCTATGCACATTCATGCACACACCCACCCCATTTCTCCCCATCAGTGTCTACAGCTGGCTTTTTATATACCCGTATATACATACAGGTATTTATAGCTATCAATGCCTGTGTGGTTTTACGTAGCAAGATACGAGTGCCCCATAGAGTCACCATCCATATGAATGCATATGTGAGCCCACTGTTGCACGTCTACAGCTAAATCTAGTCTATACAAACCTGGATATATCATCTTATGCACATATGGATGGTCAGAGAGAGAGAGAGAGAAATGCACACACCAGCATGCACATGCCAGTATAGATGTCTGTATTTAGGTAACTATAGATCTCACTATCGATGTACACACTTATCGTGCTGTGTGTGGCATGGGAGTACATAAACCCAGAGCTGTGCATTTATAGATGCATGCCCAGAATCATGGCCAGTTGCTCCATATATGCTCCATCCATACACATCCAATATAAGCAGTGTGTGCGCACACCTCTATGTATAGCTATCAGCTATATCTATACCTATAGCCTTGTATCTATAGCTATACCTCCCTTCATTTATAGCTAGATGTAGCTACACATATATTATGTGTCTATGTATAAGCTGTGTATGCATTTAATCATGTATCTATTTAGACAGCTATAGCTATAAATTACACACACATGCTGTTCTGTACAGGCTCCTTGCAAATAGCCCCCCCCCCCCCCACACACACCCACACCCCCCGTGCTTGCACGCGCTGTCTCCCTCTTTCTGTATGTGTACATATAGCCATGGATAGGGCATGAATGTCTATATGACAGAGAGCCAAACTACCCGCAGGGGGCCAGTTGCCCCCAGCTCTATAGTGCTGTCTAGATCTACACCTAGGTATAGATCATATACATCTACATCTATGACTATATCTTTTAGCTAGTTATATACATGTGTGTATATATATCTCTACATGTATAAATATCTGCGTGTGTGTGGACTCTATATGTAAGTATATCTAACTGTATATTTGTATATCTATGTATGTGGATGTATAGATATGTATGGGGGGGTTGCATGTTCAGCTAGATATATAGATACAATTTTCTATATACATGCATGCAACCAAGGCCAAGTACCCTGTAGCTCTGCCTAGATTTATATTTACATCTGTCCATATGTAGCTATGTATGAGCATAGCTCTATAAGCATACATGTACCTATAGCTGTAGATGTGCATGTACCTCTATGTATGTGTATGTGCGTGTGTCTACATATGTGTATAGCTGGCTGTATCTCAATCTGTGCATGTATGTATATGTGTGTGTGCACTCTATGCATATATGTGTGTATATGCACGTATATATACACATATCTACAGCTACAGCTGTACCTATAGATGCTTATATGTATCTATATCCATACATATCTGTATATATATGTATACAATACATAAATGTCAATACATACAGATAGATGAAATAGTTCTGTGTTTCTATATGCATACAAGCATACACCCCTGGCCCATCGTCTCATATAGCCTCCAGCCGTATACATATATGTGCGTGTGTGTATATGTATACATGCAGATCCACAGCCTGCTCCCCCCTGTGCCTGGCCATGCACATGCGTGTGCCCGTGGGGCTGCCCTGGGCTCTGTGGGTGGGTGCGGAGCCGCCCCGGGGTGGGGCAGCCATGGCAGCGCCTTTAAAAGGGGCCGAGCTGGGCTGCCCTGGAGCCATCCGAGCCCTGGAGCCAGCAGGTGAGTCCCGATGGGGCTGGGGGCACCGGCCAGAGGGGACCTGGGGGCTGACTGGGATGGACAAGACTTGGGGACCAGCTGGGAGAGAGGGATGGAGGCTTGGGGACCTGCTGGGAGGGACAGAGGGGACTTGGGGACCAGCTAGGAGAAAGGGATGGAGAAGACTTGGGGGACCAGCCGGGAGGGACAGAGGGGACTTGGGGACCAGCCTGGAGAGAGGGATGGAGACTTGGGGACAGAGGGGACTTGGGGACCAGCCTGGAGAGAGGGATGGAGACTTGGGGACAGAGGGGACTTGGGGACCAGCCTGGAGAGAGGGATGGAGACTTGGGGACAGAGGGGACTTGGGGACCAGCCTGGAGAGAGGGATGGAGACTGGGGGACAGAGGGGACTTGGGGACCAGCCTGGAGAGAGGGATGGAGACTTGGGGACAGAGGGGACTTGGGGACCAGCCTGGAGAGAGGGATGGAGACTGGGGGACAGAGGGGACTTGGGGACCAGCCTGGAGAGAGGGATGGAGACTTGGGGACAGAGGGGACTTGGGGACCAGCCTGGAGAGAGGGATGGAGACTTGGGGACAGAGGGGACTTGGGGACCAGCCTGGAGAGAAGGATGGAGACTTGGGGACAGAGGGGACTTGGGGACCAGCCTGGAGAGAGGGATGGAGACTTGGGGACCTGCTGGGGGGGACAGAGGGGACTTGGGGACCAGCCATGCCCTGGGGAAGAGCACCCTGCTCCCTGCCTGTCAGAGTTCAAGGAGCATCTGGATGATGCTCTCAGGCACACGGTTCAGTCCTGCCAGGAACAGGGGGTTGACCTCGGTGATCCCTATGGGCCCCTTCCAGCTTGAGAGATTCTATGGGACTTGGGGACCAGCCAGGAGAAGGGGATGGAGAAGACTCGGGGACCAGCCAGGAGGGACGGAGGGGACTTGGGAACTGGCCGTGGTCTGGGGAAGAGCACCCTGCTCCCCTGGCCGCAGGCTGAGCACGTGCCCCTGGTTCGGAGACCTCAGCTCCCCTTCCCTGCTCAGTCTCTCCGCAGCCATGAAGGCAAAGGTCTGCATCGGCCTCATCCTTGCCATCGTGGCAACCCCCTGCCTGTGCCGGCCCGCAGCAGAGGCACCGGGCGCTGCGGGGGACCCCCACCCGCTCCCCGCCAGCCTGGTCCGGCGGGACTGGCCCGAGTACCTGTCCCAGGAGCAGAAGCACCTCATCTCCCGGTTCCTGCCCCACATCTTCACAGGTACGGGGAGGTGTGGGGTGGGCAGCCCTCGGAGGGGCCCCGCAGGGCACGGCCCAGCCCCTGCGCCAGCCCCCCGCCCCGGGGCAGCTCTAACCTGCTCCCCTTCCCCCAGCAGAGCTGGGTGATCGCAAGGGCTACGTGCATGGGGACGAGGGGATGGAAGCCCTGCACGACCACTACTACCCCGACTGGATGGACTTCGGCCGCCGCAGCGCTGAGGACTCGGCCGATGCCGTGTAGCCGCTGCCCTGGCCATGCCGTGCAGAGCACCAGCGTGCTCGGTGCACGTCTCCACCTGCAATAAAGCTTTGGCACTATGGCTGCTGCTGCTCATGTCTTTGCTGGGAAGAGTTTGGGGCAGGGGGGAGGCAGGTGGGTGGGATTTGCCCCCAGCCCCACCAGGAAGCGCAGGACAGGGAGGCACTGGCACGCAGTCCAGACACGGCAGCAGACACGGCACACAGGAACCGCTTCGTGACTTCACATTTATTTAAGAGGGCAGGTGCTGGCCAGGCCCCCAGCCCAGGGTAGGAGGTCTCACTCCAGCACATGTGGGTCCCCCTGGGGACCACCTGAGCCCGGGCTGAGCGCTGCCCTTCCCTGCTGCAGCCCGACAGCCCCCAAGGGCCGAGCTGCCCCTCGGGGAGGCTCAGCAGAAGCAGGAACAGTTTTTATTGCCAGCAACCAGCTCCTGCCAAGGGTCCGTACTCCCACAGCGGGGGCCAGGGTCAGCCCACCCCCCCTGCCCAGAGCTGGCTCCCCCCAGAGCCCCAAGCATCGTCCCATGCTGCTCCCTGCACGCGGGACCCCTGCCACAGCACAACACGGGGCTGGGGAGCATCACCCCGGGGCACCGCAGGGCTGTGTCCCAGCAGCCAGGGCAAAGCTCCGGTGAGGCGGCGCTGGGAGTGCTGCCGGGACATCCCCAGGAGGCGAGGCCGAGTCCCATCTCCATTTTCCCATGGATGGGCAACGAAGAAGATGGAGGACGTGTCTTGTCCTGAGCTCGTGGGCTCTGCAGCGCTGTCAAGTCAGTGCACCCCGGGCTCCCCTGTGCTCTCCCCGGGCGTAGGACATCTCCCCTCTGGCCACCACCTTGTCCAGCCCCAGGCGCCGCAGCTTCTCCACCAGGTTCAAGCTGAAGATGCTGCTCCTGGGTCTGTCCTGCTCCCCCTCCCCAGGCAAGGGCTGGGTGTCAGCATGCTGGGGGTCCTGGGAGGGAAGCGGGGGGGCCCACCTTGACCCCATCCCTGGCACCGAGGCAGAGATGCCCTGCACCAGCAAGAGCCTAACGAGTCCCACGGGGGCGCTTGGGGGTCCAGGGCCAGGCGCCAGCACAGGGGAAGACGACTCCGGCCAGGGGCTGCCGAGGCTCAGCCCCTCAAGGGGCCCACAAGAAGGCATGACGGCGTTATACAGACTGGAGGGGAAGAGAGAGCAGAGGCGGGGGGGTGTCAGGAGGGGGCCCTGTCCCAGGGAGGCAGCACCCCTGGCAGAGCAAGACCCCCTTTCCTCCACCCTACATGCTCATTCACCAAATGAGCCCCATGACTGCAGCATTGCTCAAGCACCCTGAAGGTCATGGCACCATTCGGGGGGGGGGGGAAGGGGGTC